GCTCAATTCTTCACACCTTATGAGAAGCACCTAGACTCCACGGCGGTCTCTCTGCCTGCAACAAGCATCAAAAAAAAATAATAATTATTTTGACTACGGTTGTGTCCTGGTGGTCTTTGACTGATGACATCAACAAATGATCGGCATCAACATATGCTTGCTAAAGAATTTTCTACCATGATGTTCCCAATCTTAAAGTGTTCAACTACCTCTTCATGATCTGGACATTTAAAATCCTGCCTCCACAATCCCTTCACCCTCTCCCAGAAGGACATCTTTTGAGACTCTTACTCCGCCTATAAATAACGTCATATGAGTGATGAATTTGTGAGTTACAGTCCCTCTAACTTTGAGTTTTATATATTTAGCTCCTGTGCCCCTCTGTCTTTTGGAATTTAGCGCTGCCGAAAAGACTAAAGCTAATTTTTTGTTTCTTTGAAGATGATTTTTTGGGGGAGTTTTGTTTTGTTTCCAAGATTGGCTTAATCTCATTAGAATTCCCTTGTGATGTTTTACATAAAATATGGTGCAATCTTGGGGTCTTCCTGTTCATCATTTTCACCTATCTGCATTCTAGGAGTGGTTTCCAAGGACAACCTCTATATCATCAACTCTTCTGCAATTGCTATCTATTTTACAGGCTTCACTGAATGTTTAAATTTTGCTATTATGATTTAGGCTTCCATGGAGTCTCTTCTAACCTGTTCTGATTCTTTTCTCAGCTCAGCAATATCCCCTTACATCTCACAGACACCATGCAGCAGTTATTGAAAGAAAACTTTTGTTTCCTGCAATACACCTGAAAGAAAGCTTTTTGCCTGCATGTGCTCAGGTACTACCGATTTTGCCACAAGCCTCTTATCTCTTAACCATCTTTAAATAAAAAGAAATATACCCAAGCCCAGTATTGGAAAGTACTAATGTGTCAGTTACTCCCACCATCTATCTCATAGTCCACCTGAGAGCTAGGAGAATCCCTAGCAGCCAGTGGATTGCTGGTTCCCTTTCTGAAATGCAGGCACATTTGAATCTTCCAGGATCAAGAGGGTCACCCCAGCTCAAGAAAGACTCCAAATTACAGCTGAGGTTCACCAGACAAGAGGACAGACAGAAGCAGTTTTAAAGTTTGCTTCTAACAAGTTTTCTCTTTCCTTCACTTTAAAAAACAGCGCCTTCACACACAGCATTATCATAGAAATAAAAGCTTGTAATTTTCTGACAATACAGATGTAAAGAAATGAAAATCCTCCATAACGCCACCACCAGTGTTAATTCTTTCACTCATTTAACAATTGCATGTGTGAAGGACTACACCAATTGCTGAAAAAGAATCAGAAGCAAAACAGAAAAGGTCTCTTTCCTCTTGGGACTTACATTTCAGAGGAAGGAGAACATAAATGAATCATACAAGTCAATATAAAATTGCACCCACGAAAATATTCCAAGGAGAGAGACAAGGTCCCACTGAAGCACATAGTAACCCATTTTTCTCAGGGCCGGGGGTTCCCTGAGAAAACAGCAATGAGCTGGTACACAGGAGCAGAACCCAGTGTTAGACTGTTCTAATTAATCATTAACACATATAGTTACATGGTTCATCTCACCCCTAGTGTGTTCATTTTTTTTTTTTTCCTTTTAAAAATCTTGAATATCTTTGGCATTTTCAAAGAACCAGGTTGTAAATTACCTGATCCGTTCTACTTTTGCTCTGCTGGCAAGATTCTAAAGCTAAGAAGGACTTTAGGTGTCTTCAACTAGGGTTATTGCTGGGCTCTCCTCATCTTGCCACTTGTACCCATACCTCATGTCAATGTGTGGTTCTGCTGGCTTGTGCCCCACTGTTAAGATTCTCACTGACGTGGTTCTTCTTACTGGAGGTGGGTGGGTTCTAAAGAATGGTTTTTACTGTTGGTGGGATCTTGATGTTGCTACTTTGAAGGCTAAAAGCTGCCCTGTTGGATGATTTTGCCAATGCAAAACCTGCCCCCCCTCCCTCCACTAATCCTGAATTGGTAGGAGATTGTGGCTTACGGGTTGAATTAGTTTAACTCAAGAGACTCTTGTATAGAAGTATTACAATTTTACTTCAGTATTAATGGTCCCCCCTCACCTAGCCCCCTTCTAATGTTGTCTTTAGGGTGCATTCCTCCTGAATACTTTCACACTGTTAACTCTCATTTGTAGTTTGTAGTGCTGAGAAGGGCCCCTGGCTGAACTGTCAGCCCCATGACGACCGGTGCTCCAGAGCTCCCTCTGTGCATGGATACGGCAGACTCTTAGGGATGAAGGAAGGAATGTTTTCCTATTTACATACTCCTGTGACTATTTTAGAGGGAAGTTTGAAAATAATGGCCCAGGAGTTTTTATTGAGCCTTCTTACCTAGAAGCTTTTTAAAAAATTAGCTGTATAATCCTAATTCCAATATATCTAGGTTTCTAATTTTATATTTTTACATCATTTTTAAAAAGCTACTAATATTTCTATCAAAAAATCTTGATTACATTATAAAATGAAAAGAGCTTGACTAATGATCACAACTCCAAGAAAAAATATGCCCTAGAGACAGAAAAGAAATACATCAACATGTTAGCAGCAGTAATATTGATATTTAGGCAATATTACTATGGGTGAGTTTTATTCTTTACTTTTCTGTATTTTCCAAATTTTCTAGAGGGAATGATTACATTTTAACAATAGTTAAAATTATTACTGATCTGCATATTATTGGGAGAAAACAAACTATGTCCAGAAATTGTTTTCTAAACCAATATTTGAGTTTCTAAAATTCAAATATTGTCATAAATAACGAACATGTGGAAAAACACTAACAAGCCCAAACATGGATCTGAAATTTTTTTAAGCCAGGTTACCACAGAGGCAACTGATCCAGTGGAGACCCATGAAGAGTCATGGTAAGAGGACAAAGCCACTTGTGTAAAGAAACAGCGTGACCATAAATAGGAAGAAGCAGAGACAAGAAGTACCTGAAGCACAGTGACCCAATATGGATGTACTATTTAGTATGGTAAGTGTCAGGGGGAGGATTTCAGACCAAACCCAAGCTTGGGCGTGCTCGCCGGACACCTTGTCATTTAACCCCCAACCTCCCACAGTGGGTTCTCTTAATATTACCACCCCTCAACAACAATCAATTGTAAACATAATGTAAATAAAAAGATCACTCTATCACAATTTAGGAAGGAAGAAATAAACTCATTTTTACTACTGCTGCTACTATTTGTTTTATGCTAAAATTTTATCTAAAATTCTTAATGCTATCATGACCTTGTATGCTATACAGAGTGGATGTTTCTTGTTTTTGCATCCCACCCCCTCCCCCCGCCCCCAATCCATTTCCCCTTCTTCATAGCATCCTGAATTTCCTTCCAACCCTTCCATAATTCTCAGCTGTGCACTTTGGGTGATACTCACATCACATCTAAAGGATGCCCCAAGGAAAGAAATTACACTCAGTTATAGTCCATGGTGAGATGTTTCTAGGACTTCTGGAAAAGACATGTTCTTTTAGCCTGTCCTTGCCCTTGATGGAGGGTCTGAGGATCTAAGTGTGGAATCGCAGGGGGTTCCGTATGGAGTCTGAGGGCAAAACCAACACTGGAGAAGGCAGAGTACAGATTAGTCCTTGCCTGACACTGTGACTCGAGCAAGACCAGCTGAAAGTCAGGGCTACTGCAGGTCTTTCTTTTTTGCTTAAGTCACTTTAAATTAGGTTTCTGTCAGTTGTATCTGTTAAATTTCTGACTAATATAAATAAAACGCTTTTTTGCCTTAGCAAGTTTACTCTCAAATGACAGCTACACATATACTTTTTAGTAAAGAAATGTGTTCACTTTGTGATCGTCCACCAAGCAGCACATTCATGTTCTGTACACTTTACCATATGGATGTTATTCTTCAATTAAGAAGAAATGCTGTTGAATATGGTAAGCCATCAATATATAAATCACACCATTTCCCAATATAAAAAAATTGTATCGGTGCTTCCCTGGTGGCGCAGTGGTTGAGAATCTGCCTGCCATTGCAGGGGACATGGGTTCGAGCCCTGGTCTGGGAAGATCCCACATGGCACGGGGCAACTAGGCCCGTGAGCCACAACTACTGAGCCTGCACATCTGGAGCCCGTGCTCCGCAACAAGAGAGGCCGCGATAGTGAGAGGCCTGCGCACCGCGATGAAGAGTGGCCCCGCTCGCCACAACTAGAGAAAGCCCTCGCACAGAAACGAAGACCCAACACAGCCAAAAATAAATTAAAAAATAAACTAATTTTAAAAAAAATTGTATCATATGGTCCATCAGAACACAGTCCCAGCTGTGACAAAGCGAGACAGTGGCATGGACATATATACACTACCAAACGTAAAATAGATAGCTAGTGGGAAGCAGCCGCATAGCACAGGGAGATCAGCTCAGTGCTGATCTAGAGGGGTGGGACCACCTAGAGGGGTGGGATAGGGAGGGTGGGAGGGAGGGAGACGCAAGAGGGAAGAGATATGGGTACATATGTATATGTATAACTGATTCACTTTGTTATAAAGCAGAAACTAACACACCATTGTAAAGCAATTATACTCCAATAAAGATGTGGGGAAAAAAAACACAGTCCCAGCCTCAGCTGAGGACAAAATCCACTCGAAAGCAATGGTACCCAGGAGGGAGCTCAACAAATACCTGTTAAGTAAATATACCTTGGAGTTTGTTGAAACTTTAAAGAAAAACATGACTCTTACTCATAGGGGACTTACAATCTACAAGGAATACGAGATAAAGTCATCAAACATGTAATTATAAAAGTGAGAATGGGAAAAATAAAATTAAGTTATGGTTAGAAATGGATGAGATTAAATTTGATCTGCTACTAGGATAAAAAGCAAGAATTCACGTGAAAGACTGGGGAAACCCTCAGGTGAAAAAGATCCCATAAAACCCAAGTCCTACTTAGAATCTCATAAACATCGAAGAAACACAACACATTTTGTTGTTATGCTCAAACTAAGGCATTTTATTAGCTGGCTTTACACCTTAAATAATATCTTGGTTACCAAAGGAACAATTTCCAATAACTGCAAACTAAGCAGTTCCAAATGGTTGTTTGTTGAAGGAAGAACACTCACTGCTCAACACAAAATACCTTTATTAACCTTCAACAAATCTTTTCTTACAGTTAACTAAAAAACTGCTCATGTCAAATATTAACTACCTCAATAACCCATTTTAGTTATTCTTCCTTAAAAATGTGTGTTGTAAGTTGAAATCAAAAGAGAAAACTGAAAACATTTGGTGGTTTGGCTGGAAGTAGAGTTCACGTCATGATGATTCAATGTCTTCTAACACATATTTCTGATAACTTCCGTAAGTCTCAGAAAGGTAAATCCATTAGTAACATTTCAAAGGAAAAGCTAGTTTTTTAAATGAAAGTGCAATATTAGCCTTTCTTTGCCAGTTGGCAACTTAAAATTTTTGTAGGAGTGGTGAATAATACTTCTTTGCAGCTGATTATAGCTTGAATTTTCTCATTTAAAAAAATATCAATTGCACATTGTTGCTTTAACTGAATAACTGGATTCTTTCAAAACATGGAGGTTAACTATCTCACTGTCTTTAGAAACATGGTAGAAATTCTGACCCATCAGCCTTTTATCTGTAAAAGAAAAAAAAAGCATTTGCTATAATTTAACCAACCACATTATATGAACAACAACAACAAAAGGAAAAAATGGCAGTGGAGTAATCATTACATCAGGTGAAACTTTTTTGTTTTTCCTGCAACTTTTTTCCTTCCCTAGTCTTGTTATTTGAGATTTTCTATAATCTCTCCATTACTTTCCACAAGAGACTGCATCTTATTTTTAGAATGCTCTTTTATAAAGAATGTTTTGACAGTTAAATGTGATGCTGCTGCTGCTGCTATTAGGTAACATTTACTGAATGCTTTCTAAATGCAATCACTGTGCCAAGTGCTTTATGCAGACCATTTCATTTCACAACTCCAGAAGGTAGATTCTATTACCCCATTTTCATAGATGGATAAATTACAGGACAAATGTTGTTCTTCTGCAGCTAGGAATTAGTGGAGCAGTAACTCAGACTTAGACTTAAGTTTAACTCCAGAGCCTTTTTCATGGTACATGTATAACTGAATTTTGATACAACCTAAAGCCCTATGTCCAAAGTATCCATCCAGTTAAATGAACTGAGTAATTTTTATGCAGAAAAGAAGCATATGAAGTAATGAAGCCCCTTTTAAAAATACATGCATACCTCGCAGATATTGTGGGTTCCGTTCCAGGCCACCTCGATAAAGTGAGAATCGCAGTAAAGCAAGTCATAGGAATTTTTTGGTTTTCCAGTGCATAGAAAAGTTATGTTTACACTATACTATAGTCTATTAAGAGTGCAATAGCATTATGTCTAAGAAAACAATGTACATACCTTAACTTAAAAATACTTTATTGCTAAAAAAGGCTAACGATCATCTGAGCCTTCAGTGAGTCATAACCTTTTTGTAGGCATAACATCAAAGATTACTGATCACAGATCACCATAACAAATATGTAATAATAATAATGTAAAAGTCTGAAATACTGCAAGAATTACCAAAGTGTGAAACAGAGACATGAAGTGAGCAAATGCTGTTGGGAAAATGGTGCCTAGAGACTTGCTCAATGCAAGGCTGCCACAAACCTTCATTTTGTAGAACACAGTATCTGTGAAGTGCAATAAAATAAGGCATGCATGTATTCATAAGATCTATATTAATCATGATAGTGTGGGAGAAAATTTAAATCACTGAAATTCTGGTTCATTTCTGGCTATTTTCTCCAAAACTCAACTGTACCTTACATTATATATTAATGTTTCAGAAACATTACTGATACATTAACTTTCTGAATGAATGAACTGAGAACTAGTTATTAAAAAAAAAATGTAATGAGGGCACTTTGTTAAACAAAACCACTACCCCCAATTCATTTGACTCTTATTAAAGTCTATTCTCATGATTTGGACTGCATACGGATGTATTTTTCAATGGATTTCCTTTAATTTTGAGCAATATTACTGGTGGAGAAGACAATTTGGAAGTTTCGTTATGAGAAGATCTAAGATGAAACATTTTCTTCCCGTCATTCTTTTAATCTTTAATAAAATTTTAAAATGTTGTTCTAATATAACTGCACTCCCGTTAAGCCATAAAATCTCAGTAATCATTCTTAAAAAGTAGAAAAGAGGGCTTCCCTGGTGGCACAGTGGTTAAGAATCCGTCTACCAATGCAGGGGACACGGGTTCGATCCCTGGTCCGGGAAGATCGCACATGCCGCGGAGCAACTAAGCCTGTGCCACAACTACTGAGCCTGCACTCTAGAGTCTGCGAGCCACAACTACTGAAGACCATGCACATACAGCCTGTGCTCCGCAACAAGAGAAGCCACTGCGATGAGAAGCCCGCGCACCGCAACGAAGAGTAGCCCCTGCTCGCCACAACTAGAGAAAGCCCGTGCGCAGCAACGAAGACCCAACGCGGCCAAAAAATAAAAATAAATAAGTAAAATTTTAACAAGAAAGTAGAAAAAGACATAATAACCATGGATACATAATCAGTCACTTTAAAATACCTCGGTGACTACACCAGCAGCTATGGTAGAACCACTGTAGCGCAGCATGAATCTCCCCAGCTCTTTAAAGTCTTTGTACAGCTCAAGAGCCACTGGTCTTTGTGTCTGTAGCTCCACCAATGCATTCTGGCCTTTGGTCAACAATCTATCACGAAAAATAAAATGGAAATCTAATAAAGGTAAAGAAATGTAATTAAAACCTGAAAAATATTTCACATTCCATCTACACATCAACTTAGTTTTTCAAAAACTTAAAAAGTAAAAAGGGATTTTCTTAAAATGAAAATATATGCCTTTGAATTTTAGGGGGTTAGTTGAAAGAAATGAGAGGAGTAATTCTAGATTTAAGAAATATTAGCTAGTTCGTGTGTGTATGAGTATGAGTGTGTGTGTGTGTGTGTGTGTGTGTGTGTGTGTGTGTGTGTTTTAAACAATCCTCCAAATTGAACTCTATCCTTTGAAGGACACTATAATCTAAAATACTCAAGACACCTCCACCAAAGTCTTCCCTTTCATTCCCTCATGAAATTAAAGAAGAGTGATGCAGCTGCATTTAAAGAAAGGAATGCAATGTCCTATGTCTTCCATAGTGAAATCCTAATTGGTAGATTATGTGTTAAAAAGTTATCTTTAAAGAGGATAATCTCCTAGTGCCAACACACTACCCTAGATCTCTCTCTCCCTCCCTCCTCTCTCTTTTCTCACATAGGAGGAGTGGTTCTTTAACAGACGTTCAGGATAAAATCATGTAAGATTCTTTCACAGTATGATGTTTGTAGGAAATGAAGGGAGATGAGGCATGGGCCTGATTGCAAACAGCTTCACACAAATAAGCAAAACCACCAAGCATCCTTGTGCACGGGCCCCACCAGACTTACTGAAAGAGGGAGAACCCTAAGGGGACATTCTGAAATGTTCCCTAATTCAATTTTGATGTGTTCTAGAAGGATAGAGAACAGCATTCATAAACTCCCCTTCTGAAAGATTAATTCAGGGACAGACAGATACAATAAGCCAAAGTTTCTAAAAAACGTATTCCCAAAATTCTAAATATTGGCTTTGGGCAATTTCAGCTTAAGGTCCCATTCCTTAGGAAGGAGAACATCTAATATATTCATAATTTGCATTAAGTTTGGTTCTAGAAAGCTTGATTCCATCCTATATAAAGCAATCGAGTCTACAATGTGCCAGGAATGGAAACAAAGGGGAAAGGCCAAATGGTGTTGGTGCAAAATAAAAGGACAAAGCTACAAATACGGTGACAGGAAAAACTAGCATGAGAATATATTAAAACCTAGAATTACCATCATTGAACTAGACTCTGCAGCATGAGCAGGGAGGGTAAAATTCAGGATTACATCTGATGAGCCAATGTCAGATTGAGAATTTTCCAAGTCAAACAGCCCGCCTCCTGCCAAAAGAATTTGTGACCCAACTAACTAGATTAGAATCCTGGGCCTGCCACTTGCTAGCTTTGTGATCTCAAACGTGTTATACAATCTCTTTAAGCCTCAGCTTCCTCATTTGAAACATGGGAAACATAGTAATACCTGCTTCATACGGTTGCTGAGAATGAAAACCATGTGAAAGCACTTACGACAGAGCCTAGAAAATAGTGGTCCTCAAGAAACATCAGCCATTAGCTCTATCACACTTCTCAGTACATTATGGCAGACACTCATGCTAGAAGCTAAAGACTCAGGTTAAAAATAAAGAACTATCTTTAAAAGAGAGGTGAAGTAGCCTCTTTTTTCTAACTAACGGAGAAACAGGCATGGGTTTAGAACAGTGTGAAGATTCTTTCTTCTACGTGCAGCCAATCCTAAATTAACCCTCTAACCACCTTGGCCTCTTACACAGGTGCAAATGAGGAGGAACACCCCAGGACTGAAAAAAAAGGGGATTTTGGGTGGGATTCCCCATAAGGCTGAAGTGAGGAAAACCCCAAAGCTGAAGCAGCCAAACCAAACTGTGGTCAACCTTTAGTTGAATTAGAGTAAGAAACTCAAGATTCTCAGGAAGCACCTCCTCTGAAAAATCCCGTGCCTATCCCAGCCAAGGGGGAACTGTCCACACCTAGACCTAGCTATTAATGGTAAGCAGAGGGGACCAACATGTGGTGACCACCTCAGCCTAGGCACCAGGTGGACTTCAAGCAGAAAACAAAAGTACTTTCCAGGTGGGAAAAAAACAGTGTTTAGTTCACTCTCTTCCTGAGGTATTCTTAGCATAGGGCATGATTCCCATGAGGGGGTGACAAGAAAGTTAAGAAGCATAATCAGCTGGAATTTGGGACAAGTGGCTAGGCATAAATCAAATTCATCTTCAAAAATGTAGGACTGATTTTTTAAATGCCTTCATTTTTACATCATCAGTATCTAGGGCTTGATACTTACATATAAACTTACATTTACATTTTTATTTACAATTCACACCCATCACCATCATATATAACTGAAATTATATCTAGCATTCCTACCTAAACAGGAGCTTAAATATTTGTTTTTGTGTTTTCATCTAGTCCTTTAAAAAAATGATTTCTGGAACAAGTAAAAACAGACTTCACTTATCGCAAAGAGAAATATTACACAAATGAATTAATCTGTAAGGAATGTGCTTAAATTGTGTTTATTATTTATGCATTAAAACACTTACTTAGGCTTTTTCTTTGTGACTTCACCAGTGCTTTTGTTTAAGACGCTAATCAATCGTTTAACCACGGCAGGTTCACTGACGGTTTGGTAGTGTAACAGCACCTAAAACAAAAAATTGTAACACTACAAAGCTGTTCGCTGCAGCATCTCTGGTCTTTTACTCTGGCACTCACACGGAATCACGTTAGCCTCAGCACTACTGCCTGGAGTTGCAGGATCTCCAGCTGCTTCCCCTAAGTCCCACCACTCCAATCAGGTTGTCCCTTAACTCACTAGGGGAAAAGGTCATAGGAAGCAGTTCCAATTTCTCCTCCACCACTTACTGTGTAAACTTGAGTAAATTACATAACCTTCCTTATAGGATTATGATAAGAACTAAATAACAGAAGAGACAGTGTCTGGTACAGCAGATGTTCAACAAATGTGAATTGTTTCACCATAAAAATGAGGGAAGGGGAATTGCATGATATTCAGCAGTAACGAATTGTATTCATTGCTGGATAATGAGAGTAAAATATTATATGGGAGTTTAGACAGGCTTTGAAGTCAGGCAGACCTGAGTTCAAATCCTAACTTTACACATTCTAGTTGTGTGATCTGGGGCAAATCCTGTAATAACCGTTTTCCCCCCAATATCCCCAGCATCAGGTCTCTCGTCACTAAATGAGGAAAACCCGATAATGTTATTTTAAAGTGGGGCCTAACACATGGTAAACCTGAAGTTAACTGACGGCCTTATATATTAGCTATTACTGTTCATGTTTTATATGTAAGGAAATTAATATCAAATAAGTTAAGCAGCAATAAGGGTGCCAAGACCACTCAATAGGGAGAGAACAGTCTTTTCAACAAACGGTGCTGGGAAAATTAGATATCTACATGCAAAAGAATCTTACACCATATACAAAAATTAACTCAAAATGGATCAAAGACCTAAACAAAAGGACTAAAACTATGAAACTCTTAGAAGAAAACAGAGTGGGAAATCTTCTTAATGTTCAATCTGGTAATGACTTCTTGGATATGACACCAAAGTAAAGGCAACAAAAGGAAGTGTAGATAAACTGGACTTCATCAAAATGTAAAACTCTTGTACATCAAGGGATACTTAAGAGTAAAAAGACAACCCACAGCACATGGAAGAAGATATTTGCAAATCATACACTGATAAGAAATTAAAACCCAAAATACATAAAGAAATGAAAAGATGCTCAACATTACTAGCCATTAGGGAAATGCAAATCAAAACCACGATACACCCCTTCACACTCATCAGTATGCCTATTATAAACAAACAAACTAACAAAAAAATCACCCCCCCCCAACACCCACACACACAAGAAAGGCAAATAACAAGGAAGAGGAGAAATTAGAACCCTTGTGTACTGCTGGTGGGAATGTAAAAATGGTGCAGCTGCTGTGGAAAACAGTTTAGTGGTTCCTCAAAAGTTAAACACAAAATTTCCATACAATCAAGCAATTCTATTCCGAGATATATACTCGGAAGAATTGAAAGCAGGGGTTCAAACAGATACTTGTATGCCAGTGTTCACAGAAGCATCATTTACATCTGCCAAAAGACAGAAACAACCCAAACATCCATCAACGTATGAATGGATAAATAAAATGTGGTAAATACCTACAATAGAATATTATTCAGTTTTAAAAAGAAATGAAATTCTGATACATGTTATAACATGGATGAACCTCAAAAACATTATGTTAAGTGAAATAAGTCAGACACAAAAGGACAAATATTGTATGATTCACTTATATGAGGGATGTAGAATAGGCAAATTCATAGAGAAACAAAGTAGAACTGTGGTTACCAGAGGACAGGGGGAAAGCGTGATAGGGGGAGTTATTGTTTAATGGGTACAGAGTTTGGGATAAGGAAAAAGTTCTGGAGATGGGAGGTGGTGATGGTTGCACAAGGTGTATGTACTTAAGGCCACTGAACTGTACACTTAAAAATGGTTAAAATGGTAAATTTTCTGCTATAAATATTTTATCACAATAAATCAAAACATGAATTTAGTTAAAGTCTAACCCATTCTTTTTTTTTCTTCTTAAATATATAGACAGTTTACCATATAAGCTAAGGGAAACAAAAATATTTATGTATTAAGGAACTAGTCCCTAAATAGTGAAATTTAATTGCTTAGGAAGCCTCTCCTTGGTTAAATTTTTAAAAATTGTTTAAGTTTCTTCCCACAGAGAGTGGATTAAATGGCAAAACGTGATGTTTTTTTTCTGAAACAAATTTCATCCTGGTATTCGTGAATCAACATAAGCAAGTAGAATCTCATAAAGCAGCACTGAAAAACTTTTAATTCATAAAAGGAACTACAGTACACAGGAAGACAGTATTACTGTTCAAAGTAACTACCAACCTCCTGACCTCTCCACCTCTCCACTGGCAAAAATTATTGCCGCATGAGTAGAAACACAGTAACCAACCTCTTCAGCTTCTCTCCATTGGACATACTGCTTTCTAAGAATGAGTGCCATTCGTTCATAGCAATTTCTTGCTTATCAACACATGAATTTTAAATATTTAAAAGAAGTATTTGCAACAACAACTGTTTTTTTGGACACAGCTTTTGCCCCTCCCCTTTTTTAGCATATGGGAGAAATGGAATATAATTATAAAACTAAAATACTTAAACACTATTTTATAAATATAATTTTATAGGATCAAGTTTACATAGAAATAATTACAAAGAATTATAAGCAAAGCACATGGTTATCTCAAATAAAGGTGCAGAGGTATAAAATAAATTTAAATGTGCTAAATAAATTTATTCCCAATCTTTAAAATACTATCACTAATTTAAATAAAGTTTAAAGGTCAATTACTATTACTCCCTTACTTTTATTTCAAAGATGCATCAAATGGAGAAAATGATCTGTTTATATTTTTAAAGGCAAGCCATTTAATTCCACCGAGAAACATTTTTGATTCTCATGCAGAACCTGTACTATATAATAAGCTGATCAAGAAAAGAAAAATAAGTCTAATGGGGAAAATGTCCATTAGTTAAATGGCAAAAGCAAGGTACCAAACTATAAACAGAGTACGGCCCCAAATAGCTGAAAAAAAATTTACACATAAAACAAAGAATTCATGCTATTCACAAGTAGTATCTTTTCTGGATAAGTAACAATATAGTATAAAATTCCCCTCTTCCCATAAATGTGCATGTTCAAATGGTGCTAGTCAATGATAACCTGCAAACCAACCTCACAGCTTCAGCGTAATTAAAGTTTACCTAGGTCAAGCATCCCCAAAATATACCCATAGATACCAATGTACACAAAAAAATACTCTGAAATGTAAAGAACAGATAATTATAGGTTACACAATTACAAAAGATTCTGTTTTTTAATAAGATGTTAAATATGATTTTTTAAATTTATTTATTTATTTTTGGCTCTGTTGGGTCTTTTGCTGTGCGTGTGCTTTCTCTACTTGTGGAGAATGGGGGCTACTCTTTGTTGCGTTGCACGGGCTTCTCATTGCGGTGGCTTCTCTTGTTGCAGAGCACGGGCTCTAGGGTGCACGGGCTTCAGCAGTTGTGGCTCGAGGGCTCTAGAGCACAGGCTCAGTAGTTGTGGCACACAGACTTAGTTGCTCCATGGCATGTGGGATCTTCCCAGACCAGGGCTTAAACCCGTGTCCCCTGCATTGGCAGGAGGATTCTTAACTGCTGTGTCCCAGAATTTTCTTATCATTTTTATTTTTTCTGTGTTTTCCAAAATTTTCCATAACAATGTATTACTTTTATAATCAGAAAAACTACAAATAAGCTTATTATAAAAAAAAAAAACCAAAACAGAAAGACCCAATCTAAGAAGTAACATTTGGAACTCAGCAAAAAAGTGTCTACGATTTTCCCTAAACGATTTTTTTATCATCAGTTTGTATCCTATTGATTATGAAATTTCTTCTCAATGCCTTTTTGAAGAAAACATCCCCAGACTTAAGGATCAAAATTTTAAAAAAAACACAATAAAGATGATTTTCAAATTCCAATTTCATGTTTTTCTGGATGAGAGTAATACAAATGTTAGTTGAAAATAACAATAGCAACATCACCTATAAAGAGAGTTACTACTTTTTAGGATAAAGTTATATTGAATTTATAAAAACAGTAACAAACATTTTGAAACTTACAGGAAATCCTTTAGTGATAGGAATTTCAATATTAAAGATGAGGATTCGGGCTCTGAAACGAGTGCAAACCTTAATGGGTTCTTTGGGGCCACAAAATATGCAGCCAACACTGTAACAACAACAAAACAAAAACAAAAAAGGAGAGCAGGTAGTTGGGGGGATAAATAAATACACATCCAATAGGAAACCTTTAAAACCATTAACAAGGTAAAACAATCCAGTAAATTAGGGACTTTTTCTAAATAGTCCCTTTTGGGTTAAAGCATGGCTTTACACCATTATTAACCTTATGTCATTTTCATACATTACTGTTTTCCCTCAAAGAACATGTCAGGTACACACGTTGACACGTATTAATTTAAATTTTAGTAGGTTCTGCTTATCATTCTTACACTTCCACAAGTGCCTATTTCTGGCCAAATGAGATTCAGAATTAACACTCAATTCTTTCATTTGAGCTGGTGAATTGCAAATTTTACGCGTTTTGAGGTCCTACATCCAAAACAATGGTCGCTTAAACTCATTTTCTCACTCACTTGATTTTGATGACATCCATCCCAACCAACGTAAGACTAACATGATCGCCTGCTGCCGCCCAGTCGACAGGTTCATCATGCAGAGTGATTCCTGGAAATGAGTAAGAACCAAAGCATACAGTGAAACATCTCAATATCAAACCATAACAACCAAGGGAGTTTGGCTGATTTGTGCCTCATCAGTCACTACTCATCATTTTCAATATGAATGGATTGAGATTGAGAAGTGTTAACTGTAAGCACTGAGGAAAACACACTTCCTCTAGACTTGACTCTTCTGGACCACCACCCTAAACATAAAGTGACTTGTATTTGTCCATAAAAGGCTGATTTCTACTTATTTAATCAAGATTTTTAAACTCATTTATACGACTGGTATATTCATTAAATAGGCCCCATTCTAATACTTCTCTTCTATTAATGGATACAGGAATAATAGTACAGTCCCAGTTATTTTCAAAACATAATAGATGAGACTGGGGAAGATGTCTAGTAGTATTTAAGCTTTGCTCTAATTAGACAACGACGTAAACAATCTCTGAGTAACCCACAGGGCATCGGTACTCAGTGAGATGGTACCCTCGGCAGGCCCCTTCATTATTCATGGCTCAAAAGAACTGCTTCCCAGAGAGACAGATGCACAATGATAAATAGTTTTATGAAAAGGAGGAGATTAATAGTGTAAGAAAATTTAATTTAAAAATGATCCCAGCTATTGCTACCTTTATTACCTAGGGAAAATCCTAGAGTATAATTGCAAAGGGCAATAAAACTCAGGTATTTGAATAAAGGCTTTTAAAAGGTTTCTCATATTTTCTGATTCTGTGGGGTAAGTTCCTTTCTATAGGAACTTGAGTCTTAACGATGAAGACAGTATGTAGACCAACCACTGGGGAACAGTTCTTGATTGACATGTTTTTAGTAAATTACAATTCACCCATCTCCTCCTGAAAATACTTATTTTTTCCATATAGCATACTCTTAAGTGAGTTTCTTTGAGACTTTTTGGGAGTTCAAGGAGAACTTTAAGGGCTCTGAGACAACCTAAAGTTTTATTCAAAGTTTCATGTAGGTGCACATCTGCATTAATCTGAGAAGAGGGGCCATACTTTCATCAAGGTATCAAAGAGGTTCCTGACTCTAAAAACATTAACAATTATGATATTTTAAAATGTCTGTCAAATTTTCAACTAATTACATTTAGTTTTTACATGTAAATTTAAAATGACCATATCTGAGTTTTGGTATGAAATGTGGAATTCAAGTCAGGAGCTAGCTACTTACATAGACTAGAGATTGCCTTTAGCTTAGGATTTAAGAGCTTTCATACTAGAAGTTCAATTAACAATATAAAATTTTCTGAAGATAATATATAATCTGACTTCCTTCCCCCAAACATGTTACACTGTCCTACATGTGATATTTATCTTCTTAAGCACTTTCTTCACTGGAGAAAGAAGTTCTTTTTTAACACTCTATGAACTTATATGTTAATAAAGTGAAAATGTAATTTCGAATTTCCATTTGTTGGTAGCAGATTTAGTCAGTTCTCTTTTTTAGGACACTACTGGTTAGTGAGCCATAGTAGCACCTAAAGTGTTCAGACAGAAGCGTGCATTAAAAAATCAAATAAATCAATCAAAAGCATTAGGGTGAGAAATTGAGGACTGAGAATCTCCAAGTTGGGTTAGAAGGGTGGCTCTCAAGGAGTGAAGCAGTGCTTCTCATATGGCTTCCCTTTAAGAACCACTGGGTTAAAGATAAGTGGTTGGAGTTTTTCTGGTAGGGTAGGGACAGGAAAGAAAGAGGGAAAGAATGTAGAACTTTCAGACGTGACCAAATTATGATTTTGGAGCTCACAAAGGAGCCAATCTGTAAGGTCTATGACCATGGTTTAGGATCATGGTTTTAATTCATGTCTGATTATATTAAAAAAAATTTCCTATTCTCAAAAAGGTCTTTAACATATAAAGAAATTAGTATTTCAATAGTATTGCAGCTCTTGATCACTTTAAGAAACAACAGCAGAGATAATTTAACCTAAATTTAAAGATGAATAAGGGAATGAAAGCCAAGTTATTTCCATTTAACCTTTTTCTTTCTACTTGCTTAGAGATCAAGAAAATTTTGTTTGATAAAAATAATATACACTTTTTAAAAAAGAATCATTTTCCACAGACCTTTTGTTTGCAAGTTTACTTTATAGTATAAAACAGATCTTCAGTTTTATGTTGAAGTCAGAAGTTTAGTTGGAAGCTAGAATAAGGTAAGTGCAGAATTATAAACTTTTAAGCAGAATTCAAAAAAGAAGAACATGTATACAGGTAAGGTCAAATGATCAGAAGATAGAAACAGTTATGAGCTATTATGAAAGGTCATATACATACAAAAGCAATAACTGCGGCACTTAAAACTAGCTCAATTTCTCTTTTCAACATTAGGATTCTCTCCATTTGCATCTTATTTTCTTAAGTCTTCCTGTGAAAAATTTCTTCTGGTATAAACATGATCTAGGTTGTTAACTTATAGTAATTCTGAAATACACATTTCAAAACAACAGACTGTAGCACTCTGCTTTGCCATTGACTATTTAGTGCCAGGATGGGGTCAGACTTAATTTCTGCTACTGAATACTATTTTAAATGTATCTGACAGGTGTCTATACATCTGGGTCAATCCTAGCCAGCCTTCTTGAATCAATGTCGAAAAAAAGAAAAAAAAATGCTACCACAGTTAGAATGTTATATGTACATTTATACACACATAGTCACAACAGAAAAAAATCGTTTAATGTTTTCACATTTTTACCTTCAACAGTTAGTATCATTTTGACAGTCAGTTACAATTTCAGTAAGAGGTTATTTACTCTGGAGTTAATAACTAAACTACTTTTAAAAATCTGCTGTCTCAACTTAAGGGTTATTTAACAAAAGAATCTTGCAGAGGAATACCTTTTGCAGTACAAGTTTCATTAGGAGGCATTGCTAGTAGTCGGTCACCAGTTTGGATATAACCAGCTTCAATTTTACCAGTTACACAAAATCCAGATCCTTGATCTACAAAACATGCCAAAATTTTATAATGGTTCACATAACAATATCATCTATGTTTAATACTGCTAGCTATACTAAGTTTCCTAGTAGTTATATAAAACTAGTAGTTCAATGAACATTAAGCAATGATCATTTCAGAATTTTTAATATATCTACTAAATATGACACACCACATTCTACTCTTGATTTTCTTATAAATAAAAATATTTATATTAGAAAAAGTGGGAATTCATTCCTTTTTCAATTTTATTGAAATGAAATTTATTGAATACTTACTAAGTACCAGGCACAGTGCTAAACTCTGGGAATAAAGAGATGAAAATATAAGCCCCTACCTACAAGGAGTTTACACTAGTGAAGAGAAAGGCAAAAACAATTACATTGTCCTGAGACAAATGTTATGTATAATGTGCAATGGAAAAAAAACAAGGTTCATCAAAGAATCCATGATGATGGGGAATGACTACACTTTAGCAAGGCACTTAGAAGAAGGAACAGGAGTTTACCAGATAGTTTGTGTGCACGTGCAAAGGCACAGTCATAACCAAATGTGGGACGTGCTAAGACCCATGTGTCATTTATATGGAATTTATATGGGGACCATTTGGAATAATGAGGGAAAGGGCAAGACAGGAGGCAAAAGAGGTAGACATGGGACAAATAATAACGGGGCCTCATAAATCACACTTAGGGCTTGAATTTCATCCTCAGTTAAGTAATGGGAAACCAGAAAAGAATTGTGAATGGAAAAGTGACATGATGGTGTTTCTGTGTCAGAGAGATGGGGAGGTTGATTGAAATGCATACATGGACTACAGAAAGGGAAGAAACTCAAGAATTTGAGAATAAGGTATGACAGATTTAAGGTGATAAGGTAAATGGGGGATAATCGCAAAAACAGAAAAATCTGAGATGCGCATTAACTGTGAGATAGAAAATTAAAGAACAAGATCCATTTTAGCCTTGGTGAATTTGAAGTATCTGCAAGACATACAGATGGAGAAGATGCATTCAGGGGGGCACCAATCACACCAAACCCATGAGAATGGTACCCTGGGAGCACACTCCCTGTGGAGATGCCCAGCAGCAGTTAGCAGATGTATCTGCAGAGTGAGAACAGGTCTGGGTTGGAGATTTGGGAAGCATCAAGATGCAGGAGATAGATGAAATCATGGATGTCGGTCCAAAGGGAGCATGTAGAATAAGAAGAGGACTGAAGTGACAGAACACGAGTCAAGGGACAGGGAAAGAGGAGCCCACAGAGAGGATACAGAGAGGTGAAAGGAATAGAAGAGCAGGAGAAAGTCGGTCACAGAAACCAAGGGGGAAAAGTTTCAAGGTGGATGTGGCTACAAGCCTCAGAAGTAATGCCAAATTCAAGTAAGATGGAAGTAAGATAGAACTGAAAAATGTGTACTGACGTTGGCAACCAAGAGTTCATTTGATAATCTCAGCGGGAACTGAGATTGAGGCAAGTAATGCAGGCAGAAGCCAGGAAGCTGCCTGAAGAAAGAAGAGGTAAACAAGTAGAGTCAGCAAACCCTATTAATCAAAAAGAAAATTAAGCACCTCTTATATTTTAAATAGATAATAAGCATTTTGAAAAGAATTACCGTACTTCCTCTTCTACTAGAATGCTGGAAAATGATAATAATAAATTTCAATTTCATTGAATGATTTTTGTGAAGCACCTTCATTTATTCATTTATTAAACAACATTTATTAAGTATGTTTTATACGCCAGGCACTGAGCTAGGTCTTGCAAATATGGATATAGAAGTGACAGTACTTGCCCTCAAGGAGTTCACAATCTAAGTGAAATAAACAGCACAGGAACAATTATAAAACTGCATGAAAAATGCAGTGACAGAGGATACAGAGAACACAGAGCAACACCTTAGGGTATGTGTGTGGGTGACCTCAATTATCACCCCAGAATTATCAATTTATTGCTGCTCAGTTCCAAATCTACTCTCTACTTCCTGCTCTGTGATAATGGAGACTTGGGGAGCAGCTGACATCTTTACCATACCGATTATTCCAATATATAAGTTATATATTGGAATAATAAGTTACATCCTTTTATTTATTAAGACCTTTTATTCCATTTCCATTTTATATTTTTCTGTGTAGGGCCTTGTACACATTAAACTGGATGTATTCTTAGGTATTTAATACACCTCCTACAACACCTCTTCTGAGTTTGTCCTTCCTTGGGTTCTCTTCCTCAGCCCTAGGGTACTATGTAGTGCCCTTGTATCTTATAGTCACTCTTTTTAATATATTAATAATCCTTGATATTAAACTTCCCATTTTACATATGTGTGGTGTCTATTTCCTGACCCAGACTGCTATATATGGGTAGGAAATGGACAAGTAAAGAGAGAGAAGAGCACAACATGGGTAGACATAGTGGCAATAAAAACCCTATGTGATTAGGAAATACTGAATGATCCAGTTCAGTTGAAGGATACAGAAACTAAAGGAATCCAACGGGAGAAAAAAACTATGAGGCTAGACAGATAAAGGGTCAGGGTTTTTTTATACTTGGAAGGTGAGTATGAGATGGGGAAATGGTAAGTAAATTGAAGATTCTTCTAGGCAGCGGTGTTAAGTAACTATAATTGTATACCACTGGCATAAAGAAGGAAGAATCTGAAGACAACCTAATAATTTTGTCCAACAAAAGAGGTCAGGAGTGAATGGAAAGGCAGGGACCATACTGAAGTAGGCCAATAGAGGTAGCACTTACCTTTGAAAACATCAGATACACATAATCTGAAAGGCTTGTCAACAGATCTTTGAGGAGGCTTGAAGGAATCTGGAAAAAATGGTAAAATGGCAAGGTTTAATTTTAAAGTAATTTTTTTTTTTTTTTTTTTGCGGTACGCAGGCCTCTCACTGTTGTGGCCTCTCCCGTTGCGGAGCACAGGCTCTGGACACACAGGCTTAGCGGCCGTGGCTCACAGGCCTAGCCGCTCCGCGGCATGTGGGATCTTCCTGGACTGGGGCACGAACCTGTGTCCCCTGCATCGGCAGGCGGACTCTCAACCACTGCGCCACCAGGGAAGCCCTAAAGTAATTTTTGACTCATGTCCAATGAGTCCACTATACTCCCATGTCTCTCAGAAAATAATTGTTTAATAAATACTAATAGCAAATTGACTGTGATTCATATAATACTCTAGTTTATAAAATGTTTTCACATGTGTTTTCTCATTAATGTCACAACAGTCTGTGAGGTAGGTAGGGCAGGCATTAATTAAACAAGAAAAATTTAGCATCAGTTTAAATATTGCATATAATTTCAAAATCGGTGACCTAGCTCCTCTGACTACAAATCCTATGCTTTTTCACACATATCACTGTCCCCAATAAAGAACTCTAAATAATAATTAATATCAAGTTCATAATGCATTAAAATTAATATGGCAGTATTCTTACCAATTTGTTCTAATAAACATAGTCCTTTATACCATTTTGTAAGTTCACTTGACTGAGATCTTGTGATTAGATTTTCACCACTGAGACCACTTGTAGGGATAAAAGCTACATCACTTTCCTATAAAAAAGATTGAACATATGAAACTCAATACAACATTGTTTTTAAAAAATTAAAAGGTTCACTATTAGCATAACTGTACCAAGTTTGCAAAAGCAACAGTGTACTTTTTAAAAAGTAATAGAAATCAGAGAACTACTGCCCTGAAGTTATCTGATACAACAATTTTCAACTTTCTTGATTTTGTGGGAGGGAAACTTACAAGCATTAAGCATTGAGTGTTTCCAAAACACTCAAGCATTTTTACCTAGTAACGTAGGCATATTTCACATTTTTGCTGGAGAAATTTCTCTCTACTAGTTTCCACATTCCTCTGTGACCTCCCTAAACCTATACATCTAATTTAATAGGTGGAGAAAAAGTCTTCTACTTATACTAGATCCAAGCCAATTTATAAAATGTATGCAATTTTCTAAAATGAAGTAATCCAGGGAATTCCCAGGCAGTCCAGCGATTAGGGCTCTGCGCTCCCACTGCAGGGATCCCTGGGCTCCCACTGCAGGGATCCCTGGTTGGGGAACTAAGATCCTGCATGCCACGCACGGCATGGCAATAAACGGCCAGTCAAACAAACAAACAAACAAACAAAGTAATCCAAAGAATGTAAGACATACATAATATCAGGGAGAAATAAAAACAAAAAGAATTAAAATACTGAACAAGAATAGCAAAGTAGTTTTTTCTCTCATATCAGTAAGATGAGACTTAAGGAAAGTACCCAAATAAATTTAAAATTATCTTACCTTAAAACCTGCTTGCTTAAGAAAGTGCCCAAGTTTTCCAGTAATCTCTTGAAACCTTTCTTGTTGCCAATTAACCTGATAAAGATCCAATTTATTTTTAAAACTATGCTTCAGACCATGCTATATATAAAAAATTAAAATTTTTGCAATAAAATATAAACAGTCAAGACTATAAAATTATAAAATCTATTAAATATGAAATCTATTAAAATTAAAGCTCACAATGTCAGATCTTACTATTAATATGATCTAAAAGTAAATTTTCTTACAACAGAAAGGCTGGAAACAAACTCCAATGTTTATAGAATTTTTTGGATATGCTAAAAGTGACTTCAAATGTGGGGAGAAAAAGTGAATAACTTATTAAATTGTGCCTGGACCAACTGCTGAAATAAAATAAAATTACTGACACCCCCCCCAAGTCAAACAGACATCTTAGTGTATGTATATGTAATATGAACTCTAGATAACCATTCCCATGCTATAGTATTTAGGAGTAAATGTAACACTGTCTGTAACTTGTAACTTACATGGAAATTCATGTCAAAATAAGATAGATAAATGGATGGATACAGGGGTAGATAGACAAAAATGAGATAAAGCAAGTGGCAGAATATTATGTAGCAGGTATAATATGGGTGTTACTGTAACATTCTTTCAACTTTTCTTTATGTCTGAAAATTTACATACTAAAGTACTGGGAAAAAATAAAAGGTATATGTAATAATGATACTATAAAAGAGCATGTAGAAAAACTTAGGTGAATATGAATTTGATCCCAGGGTAAGAAAATACCTAAGCATAATGAAAGAAATCAAAAGGAAATAGTAATATCTTTAAATTAAGCTTACAAATTGATTTTTTTTAAGTTTCAAAAATGAGCAAACTACATAAATTCCAAAAGAAAAAATACAAATGATAATATACAAGGTATATTTAAATATTATGACCATTCATAGAAGAGTAAGTTTAAAGAAGAAAAATCATGTTTTATATATCAAATTGGAATACAATCTTTTAATAACAGCAGTGTTGATAAGAATTTGGGGAAGTGAACACATCATATAGAAGTAAATAACTAGAACTTTTCTCAAAGGTATTTTCATCATGTACAGCAAGTCTTAAAATATATATTTATATCCTTAGGCCCAGAAATTTCCATAGAATAGACTATTTCTAAACACACACATACACAAAACTGGAAATATTCAAAAGTAGGGGACTGTCTGAATAAATGTTAGTGTATCTTTAAAATACACTAGAATAAAGCTATAAAAACTACCTCTTTGCCTCTTTGCATAAAAATTATTAATTACTTGGAAACATGAACAAGAATATTGTCAATTTTTTGAAACAGTAGATAATGAAACAGACTAAAACCCAATATTATTAAAAAAAGATTTTTACGTGTAAAAATAAATTGGATGGAAGTACAAAATGAAAAGTTAAAAATTGGGCGGGGGGAGTTAGAAATATAGGTTATTTCAGGTTTTCTTTATACTAAAATAAATATGCATTTTTATAACTTAAAATGACTTTAAGATTTATAAATTAATTCTGAAAGTGAGAATTTATCTTCTTGCTTAAAAATTACTAATACCTCATTTATTTACTATTAGCATCATGAATTTATTTTTTAAAATATGACAACTGGACTAAGAAAATGTATACTAGTCACACCTGAGGTCATCAGTACGGCAGAACATCATCTTAACTACCATCGAAAACGAATTTTCAAGAAGCCTTTAAATACCTGATCCATTTTATTGACTGCAACTGCAAGCTGGGTCACTCCCAGAGAACGAACCAAGAGGCCATGTTCTCGTGTTTGTCCCCCAGTCTCAAATCCAGCTTCAAACTCTCCCCTGCTGGCATCTACAACTAAAACTGCTACATCTGCCTAAAAAAGAAAAAAATAACAATCAAAACAGCAAATAATGTCACAGCATTTTAATTCAAAGGACAGATTATTAAATTAGTTGTGTGGGTGAGATTTTAAAGGCAGACTCCAACCTGACACCAAACACAAAGCAAATCAAAGGAATTACACAAATGGATTAAAATTTTGGCACGAGCATGTGCCAAAAAAATAATGACATAAAAAAGTAAAAATTCCCATATTTGATTACATAATAATTATTATAACCAGGCAAAGGGGTTATGTTTCTGCTATCAGTTTTTAAAGATTTTCACATGTCATCATATAATCCACACCATAATAGGAAATGAAATGATCATAAAGTAAGTAAAGAATTTATCAGGTACTTTGTTCGGGATACAACAGAACTTTATAATTTAAATCAGAAGTATCATGTACATACTTTGGTGGGGGCAATTTACACTATTATTTCTATTCTTTTTCCTTTAATTCTTACCCAAATATTCCTTCTGCTTTATATCTACTCTTAAGTGCATCATTCATACCCAATCCTTCATGACTTCTAATGTTAAACTCCTAATTTCTTCAATGAGATCCAGTTCTTTTGATCAAGGATTCTTAGTTAAGAGCACAAACTAAAGCAATCAATGTGAAAATTGGCTCTTTCACTCATGTGTAGTCACTAGCAGGTCTCACACCTCAGGCAGATAGACAGCTATCTCACCTCACAGAAACACTGGGGGATAAATGTAGTTTACTTAAAGCCCTGACCATCCAAATCCTAGGCTCAATGACTGTAAATCTCCTTCTCATCAGGTTTTGCTAATAACTGTCAAATTATATTTACTTTTTTAGATTAAAAATTGAAAGTCATTGAACTGGTATTAAGATACCTAAGTCAGTAAGTATCCTTCCTGATCCTCTTTCCTATTAACATCTCAAAAAACATTACTGGGCAATTTCTCTATTCTTTCTAAGCAACAGCTTGTCTTTGGGAGCTTAAATGGCTATACATTTTCAAGGAAGCCTTTTAAGTGGTAAAAAGCGATCTCTCCTCATCCATCATGTATACTGTGTATATTCTTCTTGTAGTACATCTGTGTTAGCCTTTCATTGTTACATGTCTTACCTTTCTACACTGTGATTTCCTTGAGGAGAGGCAACATGTGCTATATGTATCTCTGTATCCAGAAAAGCCTACCACAGTACCTCATACACTGGGTACGTTACTTAATATCTTTGAGCCTATTTCTTCATTTGTCTTATAATGGAATTCAATTAAATAATCTCTAAAATCCTTTCCTACCCTAATTCCATCAGGAGTTTGGAGTAAATGTTCTTTATGATTACTCCGGACTCTAAGATTCTAGGATTAAAAAACATTTCAGTGTCAGTGTATGTTCTGGTGTTTGCCTCTCCCATTAAACTATCAAAATGTGCTTTGTAGTCCATCATATCTCCACACTGCCTACCATTGTGCTTGGCACATTCAGTAAGTTTTCACTGAATGAAAACATATATACATACACACACATACACACACATACATACACACACACACATACATACATACGTACACACACATACACATAAGGAAACAAAGAAAAATATACCCTTTGGTAAATGCAATGAGAAGTATATCAATTTAAAATGGGGCTAATATGTATTTCACAGAATTGTTACAAGGATTAGATTAAACTAAATGCATGCAAAATACCTAGTACAGAGTCTGGCCTGTATTCAGTAGTCAATCAACGTGATAATTATTACTTTTCAATCTTCATTATCTCATTCAGTCCATGGACTGTAAATTAATATTCTGAAATTATATGTCAACTTCCTTAAATAGAATCAAATACTTCCTTATTTATCTTCAAATATATTCTAATTTATTCATATAACATCCTTTTTAGGTTGACATGCTCATAACATTTGTTGATAAACATTCCCTTTAAATGGGTGGAAGAACTCAGAAAATGGTCAATCATTGAACACTTTTGCCAAGTGACACAAACTTCTGAACTCTCCATATTTTCCAGTAGTCATCTATTATAGAAGAAATCAATGTCCTATATGTGTAGTGCTATTTGCATTGTTTTAATTATTTAAAGTTATTATCTTTGGTTTTTTCAGTATCCTCATTAAGAATCATGTAAGCTTACAAATTGCAATGGTTTTTTAATCTTAAGAAAGCAAATAAACCACAGGGGGAAGACTCCCAAGCTTCACTATTTCTGCATAAATTAGCTCTTTAAAAAGATATATGACTTGAATATAAATATAGTAAAAAGGCAGATGTTGAAATATTCACTCCAACTTAGTAATAAATGAATTATAAAGCTATGCCTCATTGAGCCCTTACCATTATTTTTACTACAAAGAAATTTGTAGCTTTTATACATTTGCTTCTTTGTAATAAATTAAAAAAGGTTTTATAAAGCACCAATAGAGATCATGAAAAATACATTTCTCTATTTTTTTTCAAATTTTTTAAAAAGTTAAAATTTTAATATTTTAAAAGTTATAATCCTAGCATTATAACCTCAGCATCAGGAAATTTTATGTACAATCAGTGTACTTTGGTTAAGAAAATATCTGGTACCTGGGCTGCTCCTGTAATCATATTTGGAATGAAATCCTTATGGCCTGGAGCATCCATTAATATAATAACTTTGGTTTTGGTCTCAAACTTTGTCATACCAACATCCATTGTTACTCCCCTTAAAGAAAACATAAAATGGTTAGAATGCACCATAGAAATAATCAGTGTTATGGATTATTTAATAATATAGGTGAAATGACAGTCTAAATTCTTAAGTAATAATGGGAATTCTATTATGTAGTCTATTATTTTGAATAATTAGGCTATCTGGAATTTCTGCTGTAACAGATTACACTGGTATGGCTTTAAAACAAGGTTTGGATACAACAAGAGCTTAATCAAAATGATTGATGCTTCCCATTTCCTTTTTTTTTTCAGTAAGAAGCAGTACAGATTGTGAACAAAGAAAGATATATAGGGACATATCTGGAGTGGGAAACAATAAATATTGCAGATGAGAAAAGATAAAAATGAAGAATGACCACTATCAGGATGTACCTTTCCTCATTTTCTTACATTTATGCTTCACTAATTATAGAAATAAACTTATAAAACTTTCATTTGTAAGGCTGGTCAGTATGTTACACATTTAGCAAACAGGAAATATCAAAGGAGATGAACAATTTTTTAACAATTGAGAGACAGGGACAGTAGTGGTTTTACATCCCATGTCATCCTCTTGGAGTCCAACACAGTGCCTCTTCTTAGCCACAAAAACATAGATTCAGATATAAGGAAGCCCAGGAGGGTCTACAAAAGTAGCAAGTCTTTCTAGACTGCAGGAATTTAAAAAGGGAAATCACATGGGCAATAAACTAGGTAATTATTCATCCTGGTTTGCCCAGGATAGTCCATAGTAAGGAATGAGCACTCCCTTCTACTACCAAAGTGTCCCAACAATTATAATGGTAAATTATGTGTTCACCCTAGCAGTCAGGTAACTGTGGGTCTCCTTAGTCAAGTTATTCTAGTTTAATCCGAAACCATGGGCCATTTGAGTTTGCAAAAATGATACTTAATTCTCTTTAATAATCCCCAAGTAAGTGCCTGAGAATAGTGATGAACCAAGACTGAGTCTGAGCTCCTCCCTGGACTGCTTTGACCATACTCTTTTGACCCAGCTCTGCTCTGCATTTGTAACTGAGAGGATATGAAAATGTCACTCAGGCTACTAATTTCTGTCCAACACATGAGCAGAACAGAGGATTTATAAATATTTAACATGGTAGGATAAGCAATTCACTGTATTTTTGAAATGCTACTAAGGAATATATAGTGGTGAATTAAAACTCCCATTATGTATATGGAAGCTTCTGCTACCTACAGAATAAAGGAATATTCTAAAAATTGTAGCATGCTGAGCAACAGAAAACTACCAGCAGCAAAAATATGACAGCCAACTAGCAGATTTATTGTTAAAAAAACACTAAAATTATTAATTATTCTAGGAGATAGATTATTAGCTTACTTGCCTGCTCAACTCACACATGAAGTAAATTCAAACAAAGCCATTCTAACTTAATTATACTGTCCTCAATCTCTTTACCTACTTAATAGATAGTACAAAAAAACTAAAAAGCCATATGTCAATAATCTGCTTAATAAGCTGATAGGTGGAAATTTAGTCTTCTAATACTGATATCATACAAAATTCTGTTTTCCAATATTCATTTTCCCAAAATGTGTAACTGTCCAACTATTTTTTCTTACTAGGTTGTAAAACAAGCTTGTGATACTATGAAGAATAAGAAAGACACCTACAAGAAAAAAACAAAACAAAACTCAAACCACTATGATATAAAATTCTATTTACCAGAAGAGCTAAGGAATATTGTGACCTGCTTTATTGAGAATTATCTTATATCAATACTCCAAGAAAATAAACATACTTTTAAAAAGTATGAAAATCCAAATATGTTCTCTAATTATATTCAGAATGAAGACATCAGAGAACAGAGTAACTTCTTTGTTGATTCAGGATTTTCAGAGGGCTTCAGTCTTTATTATTTTGAGACAGTAGGTATATTTGCCATTTCACTTAATTATAAGTGTCCTCTTTCTTTCCTGACAAAGGTGCCATTGGCTTCCCCATCCCTACCAGTTCTAACATGAAATATCTAAAAAGATTTCAAAAGAAATACTTTGGCCAGAGGTATATGAATATCTATATTCTCCTAAACTCTCACCAAAGTTAGCATTGAACACAGTAACACATACAGAAGTAACCAAATGGATTAGATCTACCTGGTAGGAGACAGGTTTAATTACTTGTTTGTTGACTCTGTCTCATAAAAGCATAGTACAGAAAGTATAAAGATGAATTAAGCCTGGTAATTTGAATTTACCGGTCATTTTGATTCTAGACAGAAGACAGTTTACTACAAAAAGTTACCTTTCCTTTATAACCTGATATAATAATCTTATGTATATTAACATTATATATATTAATTTTAAATTAAGAGTCTTGCTCATAATTTTCATTCAAAATCAAGACAATTTGACATATACTCAGGGAAGTGACAACCGAAACTTCTCCCACAGAATAATTAGCTAAGGGTTTTTACTGCCTTTTTCTCTGCTTTTAAAAAAAATTTTTAATAAACATTTTTTAAACTATTTTCATAGAATTTGGAAGAGTAAAAAATGTATGTAGACTACAATGAAAACTACAATAAAAACATTTCCCTGATAATTGAAAACTTTTTTCTAAAAATAGTCTCTAAAATATTTCATGCTTTGTTTCATGCATATTCAACATATTTACATACTTATTTAAAAGACTATATACCATTTCAGAATGAAAATTTTGAAATATAGTGACTACCTTTCCCTTTCTTCGCCAGTCTCATCCAAGACCCATGCATATGCAAACGAAGATTTGCCAGCCTTTTTAGACTCTTGTTCATACTTATGCATAGTTCTTTTGTTTACATTACCCAGAAGATAAAGCAAATGGCCCATCAGAGTACTTTTCCCAGCATCAACATGACCTAAGGAAAATTGATTGAGGATTAATACTAGATACATTTTCTAGATGTTGTTCACATTGAGGCATTGCAGGAATATGTAATTCAATAGTTCATGTCAGTGTTTAGAGTAATAAATACCAATTTTTATCAAATAACAGTTAAGATGTCTAAATGGAGGGAAAAAAGCATGTCTCTTTAAAGGGGGGAAACTTTCCTTTATTTCTGGAAATTAAGATTACCAATGAGACAGGCAATTTTCAAATGTTCACAAAATGAAAATGCCACAACCAAGTCTAATGACCTCTTTAGTGACTTGGCATTATTTCACCCAGAGTGACCTTGGAAACTTGACATTATGATGCAATGCCTCCTTGCTTCATGTCTATTTACACCCACAGAGAAATGCAGAGTGGAACGAGTTTCCATGCTGCCACTAGAAAGTTTCTGGGCTTAAGCAGTTGACTGACAATCCAGAGGAACAAAGGGCATTACCAATGACCACTAGGTTGAGGAGTTGCTTCCCTCCTTGCCGCTTTTCCAGCTCCGCTTTGATATCTATTTGTTGCCTCAGCTTGCTAGACTTTTTCACTGGTGTCGGTGTTGAACTCTGCTCTTCTGATGCTTGAATGGTGTGGGATGGAAGGGCTGATTTAGAAGCGGTCTCAAGTACATCAGAAGAAACAAGGCCGGTATCTTCACTAGAATGTCCTTTTTGAGGTGTGTGGAAAATATGACCATTTTCTTCAGCAGTTACTCTACAGAAAGCATAGATAGGAATAAAGTGCTTAAAACAATTCGACTGATATCCTATAATGTCAGAAGGGCAGGGAAGTTGTCTCTTCATATTCCTTACACTTGCAGACCAAAAAATGATCTTCACTAAGTGGCTAGAGTCTGTTAAGGTGGAAATGATAAGTAGCTAGACCCAAACCACACAAATACATACATGGAAGATCCCAAGAGAAAAACAGACGACCAAAAACTAAGATAAGAAGAAAATATCCCATAAAATAACTGAAATTCAATGTGTAAGCCCATAGCTTAGCCATACAATCCTATCAAAACAGATGGCATAAAGGAGATATTTTGTAAAAATTGGCATTGTGTTCCTGGAGATAAATCAGTACTAAAAAAATAGCTTTATCAGTTTTATCCCTAACTCATTCCTCCAACCAGACAGAGACTTACAATTTTTTTTGCTCAAACACTATCCTTAAGGGAGATATTGCTAAATGTGTACATTTTCTTATTACTTTTGGCAAAAGAGTTTTAATTCATTAATTCAACAAACACTTGATTCACTAAAAACTATATTAACATATACTAGCACTGATGTTGAGAAGAAAAGATAAAGAAATGAAAAAGTTATCAACTGATCCCAAAAGCTTACAATCTATTGAGGAACTCAGATATGTAAAGTAGAAGCAATACCATCTAGCTTAACTTATTTCCTCCTTGACAATGACATTGCCTCCAAAAGTAAACACTGATCTTATTTCTTCGATAATTCTTGGACTATCCTCCATAGAAACTATAACAGTGCTATGCCATGGATAGCTATAAAGGATGTAATCTAATCAACCAGACTACGATTTGTCTTACCTTTCCTTCACAGAATTAGGACACAGAATTAGGACAAAGAACAGGTTAAATTGCAAGTTATTAAGAATGAAACCAATTACATGTGACTCAATGTGGATCTGGCAGAGAAGAATTACATACAGAAAGCAGTTTACAAAAATAACTTAAGGATTGCAGCTAATGGAAATGTATACGAACAGTGAATCTGTCAATATTTTCTTCTTGCCCACAATAACAAAAACAGATTCATTGTTCCCCCTCAGGGTGTTTTTACGTGCTCAACACTGACCCTTCCTCCTACGCCTCAGGAAAAAATCACATTCGTTATATTTGCAACTTCATTAAAAGCCTCATATTCATTCCCATTTTATTTGGTTTTGCAAATCTCCACTAACCAGCTTTGGTGTTCACTTTTTAACACTGCTTAGACAGATTAGCTTCATCTCAAACTACAGGGAAAAAATATCAGTATGTGGAAAATGTTCCCATTCTTTTTTTTAAGAGTCCAACCAAGTTAAGTAAATCAAATTTAAACTATAATTTGCAAACATTTATTTGAATGACCACAGCTAGTTCTCTAAAACAAAAACGTGATAACTCTGCATTTAGGGGAGTAAAAAAAAACCCTACAAATTACAATGAAAGTATTCAACCAGAATGACTAGTCACGTCACAGAACCTGGTTCTGATCAGACCTGAGAGAAATCACAATCTCTGGCTGCAAATCTTTCTGTTTTCAGTGACAGAGGCTTTTCTTCAAAGGAAAGCTCACGCTAACTCCAACATGGAAAACAGATAAAAGCAGAACAGCTATGGCTGACACAGTGGGTTGAGGCCTGAAACTCAGCTCATCCACCCATCCAGGCAGCCCTGCTCAGGATAGGAAGAGCGTCACAAAACATGGCCTGACTCGATTATTTCATTTACAATTCAGTAACCTGAAAGGTTTGCTTTTCTTTCACTTTCATAATAACATTCCCTTCAAGTAAATTTTAGGCAAACTGCAAATTAGTTCACTAAACTGTACAATGTTACAGAAAAGGGTCAAAGTAATTAGAAAAGCATCGACGAAAGTCTGTACTTAGTAAAAACTCCTGCATAATATGAAGTAAAAGCTAATGTTTTAAGATTTTGAAAAATCTCAAAGATGAGATCTAAAAATGACCATTCTGGGTTCAGGATTATAATTACTGACTGGTACAAAAGAAAGTATAGGTTGGTTGAATATTTTTTCAGGTGCTTTCTGATATAATTTTGTAACCTTATCTACTATTTTAAAGTGACCGGTCTGTTTTTTTTAAAACCATCTTTCCAAGAGTGGGAATATTTCTACATGAATCTAGAGGCTTAATCTTTCTTTGAGAGTTATTTAAATGATACTGGAAAGCTAATAATTTAGATTGAAGAGGTTAAGCACAGAGTTATTTGTTCTCTATGCAAGGTTCTAATGATTTTTACTTACTGCACTTTCTAGAGAAATATTTACTATCTTTACTATTAGTGAAGAAAAAGTTTGCTGTTTCAGTTTCTTCTAAGAAATGCATTATTCTTTCTTTATAAGCTGCCACTGGGAATTACACTATGTAGAAATCTATGATGCTGAAATCTTGACTCAAAAGTGTTTATGTTTCTCTGTGCTTTCTTGAGACCAAATCAAAACAACAGCCTAAGTATTATCCCTACTATAAATGTCCCCCCAAAATCCTATAAAAGTATTTGAAGTAAATATAGCTTGGTCCTTGAGCAACTATATGCATTCTGAGTATCTCCATTTGTACTTGCAGACCTTTCACATTCTGATGACGTCTCCCACAGGGCCACATCAAAATATTGGCTCACAGGCTGCCTTTTACCTTTATATTATTTCCAGGTTTATTTTTAAAATAAAATGTATTTCTCCAAGGACTCTGATCAATAAATATTTAAACAACTATTCTACGAAAGGAATATGATGATGAACATTAATGGTCCCTGTCCTCATGAAGCATATAGTCTTGTAAGATTTTGAAACGCTTGCATTATACTTGTAAAGCATAGAGGTGGGTTTCTAAGAATTATTTACTTATATTTACTATTTATTTTTTTCTTGATCATTTATTACCCATTATTTTTATAAATATTCACATAGATAACTATGCATTTACTTCTAATATACAGATTAATATACATAGACAAGTCTAGAATCAAGCCTATTTTCTCATTCCCTTTTCTTTGTACTATGCTCATCTGCATGTTGCTTTCTAAACCTTCTGCATAAGATTATAAAATCCTTAGAACAAGGAATTGTGTATTCTATTTATTTTTTCCTCTCTCAATGAAAATAATTCCATAATAGGATTAAATGGCACTCAAGACATGAGAATAAAAAAGGTACTTATGATTCTTACAACCCAACCTTCATTCAGAGAGAAAAGACGTACATTGAGCTTTTTGTTACTGAATCAGGATTCAGAATTATTTTAACGGGCTAAAGTTACTCAAATTAAAAATTAACGTTTTCATTCATTCATTTAACTAACATATACTGAACGCCTACTATGTCCTAGATATGGACTTCTTTCCCTCACTAAATTTGAAATCTAATGAATAAAGTCTTGCTTCTATAAAATAAAACAAAAAAAATGAACTAGGTAATCATTAACATTCTTCCCAACCAAGACTCATGGATACTTCTATTAATTTACATAAAAGAATGTTGTAAGGGAGAAAAAAATGGCTGCTGAGTTTGTATTTCCTGAAATTGGGGGAAAAAGAATCCTCTATTGTTTATATTTGATAATAGTGTTTCGTGTCTGATAGACAAAATATATATAATTTATAAATAATAGATTTAGGAAATGATTGAAAAACCTGAAAACTTTTAAAGAAGTTTAAAGTTAATGTCTTTAGGGGAACTAAGATCCCACATGCTGCACGGTGCGGCCAAAAAAAAAAAAAAAAATTAAAGTTAATGTCTTTAAACTGTGCTGTTATGTCTCAAGCAACCCACTTTCCTTGTCTATAAAAACTCCTGAGAGAATCCTAAAGACTGTGAAAAGAAAGAATAAATGAGTGCTACTAAAGTATGACTTATTATCATTTCTCACTAGATATTTGCAATTCTAGGTAAGTTTTATTTTATATTTTGTCTTTGTTATACTGATCCATTTTATTCAGTATGAAAATCTAAAAGAGTTTAAAGATAATAGTAAAAAAATTTTAATTAATGATTCCTTGATTCACCAACTACATTTAATTCCCAAACACTGCTTGCTTACACCATCTAGTGGCAAAGGATTCCCTACCTCACAGTGCTAGATTTCACAAAATCATAGGTTTTTAACGTTAAAGTAGCTATATTTAATTTGTATAAGGAAATTGACAGTGAGGTAGGTTAATATACATAGGTAAGTCTAGAATCAAGCTTAATTTCTCATCCCCTTTTCTTTGTACTATGCCATACTGAGGACCCATTATACTTCAATGATTATATTATGCAAAATTGAAATAGATTCTCTTTCTTACAGTCTAACAAGAAGACAATACTAATTTCAAAAAAGGGGGGAGGGGTTAAAAACCTTACCCAGGCACTTCAAATCCCATAGTTTGCTTCTTTCCAGATACAGTCATTTTAGCAACTTTTGGCACAATTTCAGATTCACTTCGAGATGACTGGGAATCTATTGATTTTCCTAATGAAAGAGTAAAATATAAAAGTCTAGTTAATTCAAATTGATTCCTAGAAATATTTATTACACATTAAATACATATTATGGTAATTTTCACAGAATCACATCTTTATACGTATTTTTTCTCTAAAAAATATTCAGCGAAATTTTAAAATGCTGAAAGAAATTCTTCTGTCACCCTATTCTGGGAAATCCCCCATTGTCAGGACTCTGCTGTGCTTAACCTCCACCAAATCTCTTCCTAATTTTGAACTGACTCTTAAGTTTCAGTATTAAGAGGTCACAAGGTGGTTTCTGCATTGAGCCTCATTCTGACATTATACCTAGACCCTGTATCTCCCTCTCCTACCACACCCTTTCACAATACTAAAATTGTCCAGTCAGTTAGCAGATGGCTAAACTATTTTTAATCGTGATACCTACAAACTGATGAGCAAGTTGAGAGTCTGCTGAATTGTGCTAGATACTGCATATTTTTCACGTGCTCACAATACTAGACTTAGTAAGATATTTGATATCTCCACAGAATACGGGGGAAGAAGTCAACATAGAAAAAGTAAATTAAGAACATGAAGGAGAATAAATTACGAGCTAGATCAAAGTAAGACTTTTATGCATTTGATCCTTTAAAAAATATATATGAAATTCTTCAGAATGTATCTTTATTATTTTCAGTAAGAGTACCATCAGGATTGGGTCCACATAAAACTATGGAAACCGCATTGCTACACTGGTAAATATATATACAGAAATTACTTTTAAAAATTAGAAAAGATAAATTAATGTACATAATTCATTCAAAATGTTTGCTATTTGCTTACTATATGCCAAGCACTACGCTGGAAATATAGTGGTGAACAAAAGCAGACATAATCCTTGTACTGAGAGAGCTTACAGTCTAGTGGAGAAAACTGATCACAAAAAATAAAATTACGACTGTTATTAGTGTTATAATCTGTATACGGTACTATCAGATTTGGTGACAGGGCACATGAATTAGAGTGCTTCCATAGGAAAATGAGAGTTAAGTGAAGACACAAAAAATGAGCAAGAATAAACTACCCAGAAAGGAAGAGCATTCCAAACAGAGAGTAGCTGTATGAGGGCCCTGCTGTAGGAGGCAGCATGGCCTTCAGAGGGAGTAAAAGCAGAGGGGAGAGGGAACATAGTTAAATGGAGCTGAAGAGGGGGGGCAATGGCCAGGCAATGCAGGACCTTTAAGCCACAGCAAAGATCCTAATGCTTTTTCTAACACATCTGGAAGCCAACAAAATGATGTAAGAAAGTGGGGGGAAGGGAAAGAGAGGAGAAGATAAAACAAAGGGTCAAACTCAAAGGAGAAGTCTGGGCTGGAGCATATATTTATGATTCATCAGCACATAATTAGTTGTTGAAGGCACTGACATAAGTGAGATCACCAAGGGAGAGAATACTGAGTAAGAAAAGGAGTGGTCTCAGGACAAAGCCTTGGAAGAAATTCAACCTTTAATCACAGATAGAGGACAGCAAGAAAGAGGACAGTGAGCCTACAAAAAGGTGACAGAGGAGGGCCGGGGAGGATGGTGCCCAGGAAGCTAAGGGAAGTGGCATCACCAGAGTCTGAAGTTGCTGTTCAGTCAAGTGAGACGACTGAAAACATTCACTAGTGACACGATTCCTTTAGATAAAGGTCATTGGTAGAGTTAGCAAGAACCATCTGAGAGAAGTGAGGGAAGGCAAAGCCAGAATGGGTTAAAGAAAAGAAGGTGAGAAAACAGGCAGCAAGTACATGTCCACTATCTCTTACGCATAATTCCAAAATCCAAAAGCTCTGAAAAATTAAGGTTTTTTGTTTTAACTCATTTGGAAGCAAAACCTGACCTGGACTAAAGTGAAGCTTTTTGTAGCCTTTATTTATCCCATTTAAAGTGGAAAGCCATACATTTCAGTGCAGAAATAACAATGTGATGATTAAAGGGTGCTGCCCCAAATTCCACTGGGGTGATCATACCACAGACGTTAATGCTTTTCTCAATCCAAAAAATCTGATTTCTGAGTCAAATCTGGTCCCAAGGGCTTTAGATAAGCAATTGTAGATATGGACTAATGACCCTCTCAAAAAAATCTGGTCGGAAAGGGAGGAATGTGGTAGAATGGTAGCAAAAGGGAAACATGGCATCATCTGATGGAGAACATAAAACTGAAAGGGCTGGCTGAAAATATCAGGAAGAAAAAAGATCATGTCAGATATTTTAGAATTTCTGAGAATGTAGAGCGGGATGGGACATAAAGCACAGGTAGAAACTGAACTAAAATAGGAGAAAGGCACTTTTACTGTAATAGAAGCCAGATCTCAACATTCTCATACAATGTTGAGAAGCTAGAAGATGAAAACCCCTGACAGTTAGCTTCTATTCTCTCCGTAACATAGCAACAAGTTACCTGGTGAGACTGAGGGTGAATGAGAAAAGTAAAAAGACTGGTGAAGCAAATACAGTTTTCAATAATCTTTGCACAAAGAATGAGTTGAATACACACAAAAACAGGGGAATCGCTGGATAGTATTGAGGGTCCATTTAAGATCTGCAATAACGAATCTGCAGTGGAATCCATCTGCCTATCCATGTGGCTTTTTCCAGCAAGGTTCAGCCATTCAGGAACATGCACAGAGAAGACACTGACTGCTTCATTCAGAGTGAAGTTTCTACCCAACAGGTACAAAAAAAGGGCAGAGTAACAAGGTGGTTGAAGGTACTGGCAACAAAAGGGGGGAAAGTTATTGAAATGATAAATAATGAGCTCTAAGCTGAATTAAACAAATAAAATGACAAAGGAAGAGTACTGATGTACTGAAAGAAAGTTGAGGGGTCCAAAGGTCAAGAAAAGGTAACAATGTAAGAAGTACAACTAGGTGGCTGTTGTCAGAATGGGACAAGCAGTTTCATGATTTCGGAAGAGGCGGAGTTACAGTGAATTGCTGACGAGAGGGGAAGGTCACTGGAAATGAGGGGGTCAAGGAACTGCAAGTCCAGGCCGCTGGACTTGTTTCTTCACATTGATGCACAAGCTATGATCATGAAGAGTTTAGGGTGTAGAAGAACACTGTCAGCCAGCTTCCAAAGTCTTGATGAATAAGGAAAAGTAACCATGAGATTGTTCAGGAGATGAGAGCAGTGAAGAGTAATAAAAGGCTGGTTCGGGCAAAAGACAGAAATTTCAAAGGAGCAGAGATGGAAGGGGAGAAAAGGAAGGAGGGTGGGTGAAGGAATAATTGTTGGAAAAGGCAGAAAAGAAAATAAAGTTGACCTTCCAGACCCTGGGGTTTGAGAGGATATACATGAAGTAAGGCAAGGAAGTAGAAAAAAACACTAGGAAAACAGATTGAGAATTGTGGAGGGGTTTGATTTCCAGGATAAAAGCAGTTCCAAAGTTCTAGCAAAGGTAAAAAAGAGTGAGAGGTGAGTGAGTGATAAGGAAGGAGGAAACTGAGAGCATGATGGTGATGGTGATGGTGATGGTGATGGTGATGGTGATGGTGATGGTGAGGGAGAGGAGGGGGCAGGGCAGTGGTGTGTGTAGGTGGGGAGAACACCCTGACTGATAGAGGCATGGCAGACTTTGGCCTCTGTCAAAACAGGGAAAAAGAACCGTAAAGCATAAAAAGGTCTCAGTCCAGGCTATACAGGGCTAATCCCCACTTCCTATTAAGATTAATTTTAATACCTTCTATTTTGTGTGTAAAAAATCCCTTGACTCACTTATACATTTAGTACATTGAAATACTGTTAATGTTGACTTTTTTAAAAAAGTAGGTGGATCTTTAAGCAAAGAAAAGTCACAATATGAACCTGTAATATTTCTGGGGATGCAGTAAATATATTATTTTTCATTTCTGGTGATCCTACCTAGAGGATATCAAACCTCAAACCTAAGATGTAGTATTTCAAAAATTTGGTTATGTAAATGAAAGTATTTTTTTAGAGGAAAAAGTACTACAGATCTGAATATAACCCATTAAAGCAATGGTTCATAAACTTTTTTATTTAGGTCAGATACCCCTTTGAAATAGCTAATGAAAACAATGGGACACTCTTGGCAGAGAAATACAGCACACACAAAATTTTGCATGCTATTTCAAGGGGTTCAATAATTCCAATCCTAGAACCCTCCACTTGAGAGATAACCTTGATTCAGGCTATTTTGGAAATATGTTAATTCAATTTGATGTTCTCCATAGTCAATGAAAACATACATTTAGTAAATTTTCCATTAAGCTGTTATTAATGGCAATGTGACATACTTTGACTTATCCAACCGCATTATACAGTCCCCCTCGTAACTAGCATCATGCTGATGACAGGCAAAATCTACTGACAGGTCAGAAATGAACTAATAACTAAAATAATCAGTCATGGATCAGTAAGAGATACATATATCCATCACATAAAAGTGTAAAATGTTTACTGTATTCCTTCATCTTCCCCAACCAAATAACAAATTCATTTTCTGTATAACAACCTCAAGAAACTGAGCACTGAAAGTCCCAAAATAATGGCAGCATATGGAATGAGTACTGGATGCAAATAAGGAGCTTGGATTCTGATTCCTGCTCTGCCACTAATTAACTGTTACCTACCTTACAGCTTAAACAGTTCATTTAATTTCACTAGCTTCCGTTTTCTCGTCTACATAATGAAGTAAATTAAACGGTTTCTAGTTCTGTGGATGTATGTGTCTGTGACTCCCAAACCATTAAGGTGTCCTTTAAATCAAATAGCCTACTAGGAGGTTAAAATGTGCCATTCCAAAGAAAAGTACCAATGTCCTCCCCCAAGTCATGTAAAACCCACCCACCAAATCATAGTCACCAGAAAGAAACATGTTCTGAAGATTCATATATTAGTGATTAATATATTAGTGATTAGTGTTCAGTCTCTAGTAGGAGGAAGAATTGATCATCTTTTAGATTTTTCATTTGGATGAAAATAACAGCTACCCAGTTAATCAAGTCCAACCTGCTTGTTTTGTAGACAAAAAAAACCAACAACAACAAAACCAAGGAACAAAGAAGTGACTTCACCTTAGCAGCAGGGCATGCACTTAATTAATCAGCTCACCTACCTGTCCACTTCTCCTTTCTCATACTCCATTTGTCTCTAAAGCAACGCTTCTTCTACCCCTAGTGGTTACCCCTTGCTGGACTACTTCTTCCAGAATTCTACTGTTTCCTTCCTGGGGTTAAGATCTAAGCAGCAAAATCTACTTGGCTCTGTCTCTTGAATATGAAGTTATCTAGGTCCCTTTCCTGAAGACATTTTTCAATGTATATTCCTTTGTAAAGGATTCAAAGCCAAATTTCCCTAGCACCACACGACTGTCATAGACTTGCTGAATTTAATGAAACTTCCTGCTTACATATCCACAAGATTTACGCTCTTTCGACTAATTCCTTTGGTCTTTACAACACAATCAATATTAGACTAACTAGCTCTTTGAGGATAAGAAATGCCTCATACACCTGTCCACATAGTACAAAGCACACAACACAGTGCTCTACTCACAACAAGCATTCAAGAAACAGAGTTTAATGATCAACCCCTAAGGGTTTAAGTTTTGAAACCTTGAGTTGATCTCTATTGTTTTTGCAAGTTATCTTAGTTCTCTTCTTAAGGCAATAACCTCAATTTACTCTCTACCTACTTCCTGCACTTATAATCAGCCACCTTGGACTTCCCTGGTGGTGCAGTGGTTAAGAGTCCGCCTGTCAATGCAGGGGACACAGGTTCTATCTCTGGTCAAGGAAGATCCCCTATGCCACGGAGCAACTAAGCCTGTGCACCACAACTACTGAGCCTGCGCTCTAGAGCCCGCGAGCCACAACTACTGAGCCCAGGTGCCACAACTACTGAAGCCTGCGCCCCTAGAGCCCGTGCTCCACAAGAAAAGCCACTGCAATAAGAAGCCCACGCACCGCAACGAAGAGCAGCCCCCGCTCGCGGCAACTAGAGAAAGCCCGTGTGCAGCAACGAAGTCCCAACGCAGCCATAAATAAATAAGTGAATGAATGAATAAATAAATAAGTGAATGAATGAATAAATAAATAAAATACCAGCCACCTCCTAGTGTTTAGAGCGCTGGGTTCTAGAAAGTCCACCTGGCACTTCCTATGGGCACTCTTGTACGCTTTCCTGCCAGGAGGTTTTTATATGCTCTTTTTTACCTTCACAGCAACCACGCAGAATGGGTATAATTATTCCTACTTTACTTTAGAGAAACTAAAGTTCAAAACAGTTGATTTGCCAAAGATTATGCAGCCTTGGGCAGTGACAGAGCTAGATTAAAAAAAAAGGTATGAATCATATTTTTTTCTTTGATGTGGACCATTTTTTTTTTTAATCTTTATTGTATTTGTTACAATATTGCTTCTGTTTTATGTTTTGTTTTTTTGGCCCCGAGGCATGTGGGATCTTAGCTCCCTGACCAGGGATCGAACCCGCACCCCCTACATTGGAAGGTGAAGTCTTAACCACTGGACCGCCTGGGAAGTCCCTCAAAGAGTTTATACACTATTCTGAGACAATTATAAACACTGTGGAGATTAAGGTGTAGAAAGAATAAGCAAGAGTATTCTATGTATGCACCTGAGTAATTAGGAACAACTTAACAAATGAAATGAGATTTGATCTGACCCTGAAAAATAAACAAAAAGGAGGAGAAAATAACATGGAAAAGTCATTTGTAAGGGTTAATGGGGCAAATATTCTGAAAAAGACTGGGCAGTGATCAATAAATTTTTAAAGACTATATAACTGAAGCTTTGAAGGAAAGAACTCTTTAAAACAAAAAAGATCTTTTATAGATTTATTTTCAAGGACTATTTTCTCATTCAATAAGTAGAAAGTAAAACAATATTAAATATTCTAAATTAGGGAAGATAATAATTGAGACTATTTAGAAATGGGAAAGGCTAAATTAAGAAGAGGTAAGAGAAAAAACCATAGAAACTTATATGTAATAATGATTTCTTCATAAAAGATGCTGCCATGTCTCATCAGTCTATAATTCCCTAACTTCTCCGTAGCCATTAATGAGGCATCCCCCACTCTTCAGTCCTAGGGTGCTTTAAACTCTACGGATATCTTCCACCCTGCAGTAATCAGTTCTCATCAGCATGGCTGGAAATCTAAGGCTCTGCCACCAAAACATTCACGACCTTGAGCCTTGACCTAGTCATCAAATACTCCAGAGACTGAGTTTATCCCATGTGCAAAATAAGGGTATCACCACCAATACCATCTACCTGACAAAGATTTTGTAATAAATATTATACTTGTAAAAGCACACCAACTATTTTAAAATATTCTCAACAACAACAAAAAAGACCTTATTCTATGGAATTATCTCATCATTGTTCATAGAATATCCTTGCCAGAAAACTCATAAATCAAAAATAATTACTGAAGTTTGTGGTCAATACATATTTACTGTAAGTATCTTTAGTTTGACTGGATGTTGTTGCACCCATTAACCGCCTTTATTTTTTAAATGATTTTAGGCATTTATAGGATCAAAAAGTGCTAGAATAAACATGCACCTAGTCACAGATAAGCAGTAACACAAAAAGTATACCTCACCTTGGCTTGAACCCAGTGGTTTTTTTAATTCGCTTAAGTGTCATACAAGTTAAGTTTCAAGAGTACATACAAAAAAAGAGAAGAACATGCTAAGCTGATGTTCATCTGGAAAAGTAAACGTGAGAGAATGACCAATAAAATTTTTAAGTTAAGGATAATGATAGGGGACTAGAACTACCAAGATATCAAATATCATAAAGCTGAAGTAAGTTAAAATGTGGTAATGGCACAAAAATAGCTTGATGAATTAGAATAGAGCATCTGTAAATGAACCAATTAATAGTAATATATTTATGTTTGCTATACATAAAAATAAGAACTGAATGTTCTTATAGGAATATATAGGTTACACAGTTTTAAGTAGGAATTCAACATATGCAAAGAGATGTTTCAAATCAGTGGGAAGAGAATGGGTTATATTCAATATTGTATTGGGAATACTGGCTATCCATTTGAGAAAAAGACTCTATCATACGTTTATGGTGTTTCATACATAAATTCCTTGTTGATTAAAGATATGAAGAATAATATAAAAATATATTTGATTTTCAAATAAGGAAGACTGACAAATTTTACATAAAATTTTTTAAAATTTTCCGATTAAAGATACCACAAGCAAACATAAAAGTATGTGAGGAAATACATACAAGGGGTTAATGTGTGTGTGTGTGTGTGTGTGTGTGTGTGTGTGTATAAAGAGCTCCTACAAACCAATAAATAGACCAGTTCAAAATACACAAGTCAAAGAAAGGTGTGGCAGAGGAAACGGGGGTGGGGGGGATGGGGACGGATAAGCAGGAGGAGCAAGGGGAGGACTGAAAAGAGGAGATGGTGGAAGGGGGGGACAAACGGAAAAACGGCACAGAGGAATAAGTAAAAGGATTTCTACTTTTTTTTATTAGCATCCAGCGTTGCAAAGGGAAATGGGGAAAAGAGCACTATCTGACACCGTTGGCAAGAGTACAGCCTGGTACAACCTTTGGCAGGGAGAAAATTTGATAAAATAAAAAACTTTACTATATACACTATATTTCTGGGAATGCATTCTACAGAAATACTAACGCTACTGTGCAACAATATATGAACAACATTGTTTACCGTGATGCTGTCTGTAATGGTGAAAAAACTGTAGATGTACCTCAATAAGGGAATCGTTAAACAAATTATGATGTATCCAAACAATGAAATAATTTGCTTCAGATAAAATAGTAAACCTACATGCTTGAAAAGAAAACAATAACACATTAAATGGGAAAAGCAATTGCAATATTATACAGCAAAGATGCTATATTATTATGTTATTGGCATTAAAAAGTCTACAAGAATGTAAGTGAACTTTTAAAAGAGATTACCTCTACAGAGAGAGAAAGAGAAATATCGTATGAATCCCTTATATGAAGAATCTAAAAAGAAATGATACAAATGAACTTATTTACAAAACAGAAACAGAGACTCACAGACTTAGAGAACAAACTTATGCTTACCAGCGGGGAAGGGTGGGGAGAAGGGATAGTTAGGGAGTTTGGGACTGACATGTACACACTGCTATATTTAAAATGGATAACCAACAAGGACCTACTGTATAGCACAGGGAACTCTGCTGAATGTTATGTGGCAGCCTGGATGGGAGGGGAGTTTGGGGGAGAATGGATACATGTATATGTATTGCTGAGTCTCTTTGCTGTGCACCTGAAACTATAACAACGTTGTTAATCAGCTTTACTCCAATATAAAATAAAAAGTTTAAAAAAAAAGTTATTACTTCTAGAGAGTGATATTAGGAAAGAGAGGAAGTGACTTTTCATATCAAAATTTACATACTTCTATGTTACAATGACTATGTATAATTTTTATAATTAAAAACCTTTAAGTGAGAAGCATATATATTAAAACATTTCAAAACACTAAAAACTTATTTCTATACTATTCTTCAGAGATGCTCTTGATTTTTTCTTATTTCATGTTTTGAAACAAAGGTACAAAGTTCATCCAATCAATAATCCAATGACAACTTTATATTCAGAATGCTCTAGTAAGGCTGAAAGTAATGCTCTAAACAGTTTTGTCTTTTGTGTTAAGTAACCCCTTGTTAGGCTCTGAGGCTTCTTGACAGCAAGGACTGAATCTTTTGGATTTTTCTATTTCCGCAACCAAAGTATGTGATACATGGCACATCATTTATACATGTCTGTTGAATGCTGAATTGAATAAACAAAATAATTTCCTAATAGCTCTTTCAATGCTCTAATAAATTCCTAAAGGAACGAAGGTGAAAACTAAAGGGAATTATAAATGTGACGTCTTTGAACATGTCATCTCTTACGGGGAAAAAAAAACATGGTCAAATCTATCCTGCTCTTCTCAGATTTTCTACAGCAGGATTTCTCAACCTCAGGACTACTGACATTTTGGGCAGCATATTTCTCTGATGGAGGCAAAGGGGTGTCCCAGGTATTGCAGGATGCTTAACAGCATCCCCAAAATGTCTACAGACAGAGCCAAATGTCCTTTGTGGGGCAAAATCACCTCCAGTTGAATACTGCTCTAAATAGTTATTAACAAAAGAATTAAATACATATTATACACCCAATAACCACTCCAGGTCAAAATCCTCCAATTCAACTCTCACTTGAGAGTCTGGTAAAGTAGGTAAGACATAGACTCTGCTGCCACATAGCCTGGGTTGAATACAGGCCCTGCCACTTTAGTTATGTGACTTCAAGTAAGTCACTTCACTTCCCTCAGTGCCTAGTTTCCTCATCTGTAAAATGGTAACAATATTAGAACCTACCTAATAGGTATGTTAAGAGAATTTAATGAGTTAACACATGTTAAGTGTTTAGAGTAATGCCTGGCATATATTAAGTACTGAATGATTCACACCACATTGAATCTATAGACACAAATTACTCTCTGACAATCACATATTAATTCATGGTGGGGAGGGAAATTGTCGGCTGTATGACACTGTGCTAGGTATTGGAATAGAGAGATCAAAGAATAAGACATGATTCCTATCCTCAAGAAACCTTAAGTCTAATAGAGATACCACACAAACATTATTACAGTATGAACTGATATAATGCAGGTACAGTGACAATGCATAGGAAAGGTACTAACCCACCATACTGGAAGAATTAGGCAAGGTTTCCTTCAAAAGATTCCTAATGAATCTTGGAGGGAAAAATAAGGAACAGGGGCTCAGGGAATGTGACACAATGCATACAACTGACAGTAGATCGGCATGGCTGGGATATAGGGAAAGAGATTAATTGTGTGAGACTTAAGGACAGAAAAACTGGCAACTCATTTAGGGCCACATATAACATTTAGGTACTTAACTTGATTTTGAAACATAAGAGCCACTAAAAGAATTTAAGCATTGGTATGACATACCATATTGTGCTTTAAAATGAATTGTGGAGACAAGACTGAGAGAAAGCACATAGAAAATTGTTGTACTGATATGCGTAAGGAATTCTATGAACTGATGTAAGATAAGAACGATGGCGATGGAGAAAGGGTTATTTAAAAGATACTACAAGGTAAAATTAGGAACGTTTGCTGCCGGAATGTATGTAGGAAAAGTGAGAGAAAGAACAGTTCCCAAATTTTCTAGCAAGGAAAAGTGGATGCCTATGTCATTACCCAATAGAGAATACATTCCAGAGAGCTAAAGAAGTCTGCTGGTCAGGATATTGCTTCTCTTCGATAGTCTTTTATTCAAGTGCAAAATTAGAGCAGTCCATAGAGGAACTGCTTCGTCCTAAATAGATGGAGATTGCCACCAATATTTTGTGGTTTTTTAAACACTGCTTAGACACTATCTCGGGTCTTTAGAGTTTTTCAAGTTAAATTATAACATTTACTTGTCATGGGGGACACAAGATGACTAATACTCTCTGTTATCAGGTAGCTTTCATTCTAGATGTGATGGACATGTAGAATGACAAGACTGAAAGAAAATATAAACAAAGAAATTAAGAGAATTTTGCATGAGACCACAAGTGCTATGACTACAGCTGAGCAAGCACTAGAGCATAGGAAATAAGTAAGAGGGGCAAGCATGAGAGACAATATAGTAACAGAATATGGTGATGAATTAAATGTTAGGGAGGCAAAAAAACAGAGATCTAAATCCCTAGGGCTCTAAATTAGATATGAATATAGAACACATTGGATCTGAGATTCTTTCAAGACAAATAGAAATTGGATAGAAACCTGGATAATTGAGTCTGCAGAACAGAAGAAATGAGAGCACCATTAAAACACAAGAAGTAACTTGAGACCTGGAAATGGATGAAATAACGTACAGAAAATGAAAGGTGAGAAGGTAGCAAATGTCCAATGAAGGAATGCTGGCTAACAGAGCCAGGCAGAAAATAAGCGTTCACATTCCTTGTACAGTCCCTACATGGAATTGAGGTTCATGCAATCATGCAAATTTGCAGGTTGTATTATTAAAGGTCATTTGGTGCAGTCCACCATTTTACAGAAGAAAATTTAAGTAGATTTCTAAAGATCACGTGCCTGGTAAATGGAGTCTTTTTCTCCAGGCTGTTTCTAAGGCACCCTCTCCATTCTACCATGTTTCTGGTTGCACTTCCTCAGGACCTCATGGAAGGGGATTTCCCAAGACAACCAAACCAGGTTTATTTTGAAGTTAAAAGTATACTAAACTTGCTCAATCAAGTGCCTCTATAAAATGTTAATGCTCTGTCCAAATCATGATTTTCTGATTTTTAGTATCTACTCAGATACTTCTGATAATAATGTTCAAATCAGTAATGCTGACTTCATTTAACGTTTGCATTTCAAAATCTCCTAAGAATACAGTTACAGCCTAGCAGTTAAATCATTCTCAGCATAACAAAGAAGTTTCTATTTAGTACAATTTTAATTTCCAGTGGGAAATTACAAGGGTAGGCTAGTCTTCCTCTAATAACAAACATCTAGATACTATCTTCTTCACCTTTTGCTTATGCTCATTTTAGGTGGGAAACATGACATTTAGGGTCTAAAGCATACGTTATAGCATAATACTATCAATTTTAGGTCACACGTGATAATCCCAAATTCTTTTATTTATTTATTTTTTTGCGGTACACGGGCCTCTCATTGCTGTGGCCTCTCCCATTGCAGAGCACAGGCTCCGGATGCGCAGGCTCAGCAGCCATGGCTCACGGGCCCAGCCACTCCGCAGCATGTGGGATCTTCCCGGACCGGGGCACAAACCCGTGTCCCCTGCATCGGCAGGCGGACTCTCAACCACTGCGCCACCAAAGAAGCCCCCCAAATTCTTGAAAATGATAATTCCAGACCAAAATGATGTGACTTGAAATAAAAAACCTTTATTGTATATTTTGATGGAGCATATATTGTTTTCATCTGTATTGTAAAATATCAATATAAGTATGTGCCTTACTTCTCCAACTAACCTCTGAGTTCCAAGTGTATTTTTAAAACTTTTTCCACAAGATCCAGTCCAGTGGCCTAGTACATACTAGACACTCAAATATTTACTAAGATTACATAATCTGATATATGGAAAAAAGTAATATATTCTCTGAGCCAGGGATTCTCAGCTTGGGAGGACAAGGTAGATCAAGAAAACAAGCACAGCCTTGCCCCCGCCCCCTCTGAAAATCATTGTCACTGACAGATCTGATGCTGACAAGAAAGTGGTATATCTCAGGTGTCCTGGGACAGAAAAAATTATTGAGAATGACTTATCTGGTATAAAACTAATTTTATAGATGAAGAAGTGAGGTTCATGTAAGTTAAACAATTTGTCCAGTTTAACATTCTTTGCAAATTATATCTTGTTGCCTGGTCTGAGGTTCATAACTAAAAAGATGTTTGAAGATCTGTCTCAAGTCAGGAAACTAGTTCAAATGACCTTTTAAGGTTCCTGCCCTCATACTCCTAGTTTTAAAAAATAACTACTTAGCCTATTCAGTGAGAATCTCTCCCCCACATATATATCATTAAATCTCTAAATGACATCAGCTGTAAAATGTTTGAACATTTTAATACTATTAGCCACATCAAATAGGGTATTAGTTAATTAAAACTGTTCTCTAGGAAATAACATTCTTAAATCCAATTAAAAACAACCAAGGGTTATACCCCAATAAAGATGTTAAAAAAAAAAAAAAACAACCAAGGTTTGTTTTTTGGTTTGTTTCACATAAAATCCATAACTAAACATGAGAGGATTA